TAGTTAAATATATACAATTTTTAACTCCTACTTGGCATAGCAACAGATACAGTAGTTGCATTAATTACATCTAGATTAACTATTTTATTATTTGATACTTAACTTCTTATTATACAAATAATGTTAACAAAAGTACACTTAGTGATTACAAAATACTAATATTATTATAGGAATTTTTTTATGCTATTACTGGAAAATAGTAATTAGTTACTAAAACCAAATGAAGAGTTTTTATCTACAAACAAATGAACCAAGACCATTGGCAAGCCTTTGCTAATCAAGTCACATCTAATATTCAAGCTAACAAGGCTTCTTTTACAATTGACATCATATAATCACTTGAAGCCTCATAGTACAAAATTCAAAAAAGCATTATTGTAGCTGCTCTGCAACATATTTCTAATAAAAAATTTACTGTTCACAACTTTTAACACATTTTCTCTTTCAAAGCATCTAAACTATATTTACAGTTTAAAAAAACTTGATATTATTATAAAACAGGTCAAAACCTCAATTTGAAACCAAACTTCAATGTCTACATCTTACAACCAAGACATTAATTAGCTTAATTCTCTTTATTATCTTAATATATCTGCTTTGCTACATGATTCTAATCTTTTATCTAACTGAATAACTGCAGTCAATACTGAATAGAAAATACTTTATTATGCTCAAAACCTAGAAAACATTAAAAATATAAAAGAACAAATTAATGATAATATAACCAAAAGATGTAGTAAACTTCAAGACAGTCCAACATTAATAATTAATAGTATACTTAATTAACACAAAGATCCTGTTAGATTTGAGAATATTAAAGAACAAAATGATATTATTACTAAACCAACTCTTATCAAACAGCATATTCAACAACACTTTGATGACTAAACAGGTTTTAGAAATATTCAATTACATTATTTGACACAAAGTGGCAACAAGAATACTAACCTAAACCTAATATTAATTATATATAATATCAATTAGCACTTAATTAATTCTCTTCAATTAAAGGTTTTAAAATTATCAGACAACTTCTTAATAACAAAGTATATGAGCTATTAGGCATTAGCTATAAAATGCTTAAACATGCTAGAACACTATTTCTTAATATAATTATAGCTCTCTTTAACTGCTGTTTTACATCTGAACAAATTTCAAACTAATAGAAAGAAGAAAGAATTTTTTCTATTTCTAAAAAGCCTATTTTTGATAGCAATTTAACTAATGCCAAACTTATTAGTTTGCTTGAATATGTTAAAAAACTTTATATCAAACTTCTTACTAATTAACTTAACTACATCTTTACTCATTACAAAATTTTATTAACCTTTAACTATATAGCTTTACTTGATAATAGTACAGCTATTCCTATATATATTCTTAACAATATTATTAAAAAAGGTTTTTGTAATTCTAAATAGCTTTGGTTTCTATCTTAGGATATAAGCAAAACTTATAACTCTGTAGATCTAACACTTTTTATCAAATCTTTACTATGTTTACACATGCCATCCAATCTTATTAATATTCTTACCAACTTGCTTACTAATCAACATAATTAGATTATTACAAATTTAGGTCTTACTAACTTATACAATGTTAAAAATGGCATTGATTAAGAAGAAACCATAACTTTATTATTCTTAAGAATCTATTATAATTCTTTAATTAACAAAATAGCTTTGAACTTCTTAGAATATACTTTGGCTATAAAGTGAAATACTAGTTTGCTTTAGCCAAAGTCTTAACAACTTCAAACCTTAGTATCTGTATTAGTATATATAAATAATACACTTTGGATAATCAAATCCAGAAAAGAACTACAAACAATTATTGCTATAGTCACCTTCTTTTACCATATAGCTGACATACAAATTAATCTAACTAAATCAATTTTTATCTTAAACACCTTATCTACAACTTCTATTCATTTCTTTAATTCATTACTTACATCTATTTTTGCCAACTAGCTATTCAAATTTTTAGGATGCTAGTTTACTCTTAATAACTTTCATATAAAACAAAGTCAATTAATTTATGATAAAGCAATTTAACTCATCAACATTACAGACACCAAAAGAATTACAAACAAACAAGCCATATATATTACTAATACTGTAATTATTCTTACTATCAAATACAGATTATACAATATAATTCTTAAAACACTCTACTTATAACAACATTTTATTTATATACCTTACTATGATTAAATATAAAGCCAAACTTTTTTATACTAGTTCTAACAGCACTAAATCCTTATATATATAATGTATATAATATTTGGAACATTTAGTTACAACACAATGTATCCTATTTTTAACAAAAAATTAATGACTTAAAAATATTTAGCATTTCTACAAAAATTAGATTACAGCAACTCCAAAACAACCTCTGGTCTGCCACTAATATTCTTTAGCACAACTAACTACTTATAGATAGATCTAACAAATTTATACTTAACTTCAAAATTATACAACTTTTACAACATTTAGGCATTTCAATTTTAGCAAATTCTAATGCTTTGTGGTCTAATACAATTTATAATAGTTATAAATTATTAGAACTTATACTTATTTAGCATTTCAAATATAATACTTTTAGAAAACAACTTTAAAGAAATAAAATACTCTATCTAAAACAACTATGTATTGCAGATAACAGCATTCTACTTAAATGATATCATCTTTTATTCAGACTTTATCACTTAACCAAAAGAAGGCAGCCTCTTTGGTTTAACTATTTAGAAGACACAATTTTGTTTAACAGACTATACTGCCTAATTTTTTCTTATTTTCAACTATTTGAAGCTAATGCTTTTGCATATAATACTTCACCAATTAAAAAAAACTTAAATTATAGTTACTTACATATAAAGACAATAATAAAGAGATCATTATTGGCAAAGCTGCAAATATCTTCCAAACAGAAATCAGTTTTCCATCTCATACTAAAATGCTATTATTAATTTAAAACATAATTATTACTAGTTTTTTTCAGATCTGAATTGCATACTATGTACTAGATGCCATCTTAACTTAAATAGAATTAATTGAATATGCACAATCAATATATTAGCAACTATTTGTACCAGCTTTCTGAAAAAAAAAATCTTTAAACTCAAACTTAACACTAACTAACTGAACCTTATTTACTTAACAACAATTAAACATTTTTTACAAATTCCATATAACTATCCTATTATTAATATATCAAACTTAACTATCACAGAAATCTTTAAACCTAATAAATGTTCAAACAAACTTAAAGAAATCTTCTAAAACAATCTGTTATATAATGAATTTACTTTCTATATAGATGAATTAGTAACTGATATTGGAACTAAACAAAGCTCAATAGGCATTGAATGGGTTTAATTTAACAGTAATAACCAAATTCTTCACAAATTCTTAGCTAAAATTCATTTTTGGCTATTAGCCTATAAGGCAGAACTTTTTTTTATTTTATTAGCAATTTTAACTGTATCTCATAATGCAACACTTCAAATTTATACTAATTTACAATTTGTTATCTCTAAATTTTACAAACTTTTTACTCAACTTAATAATTCTAACAAACACTTTAAATTTAATGCATGGTCTTTATAACATATACTTCTTAATATTATCAAATCCTTTAATCTAAATATCAACTTTCACAAAGCTTAATCTTATACAAATAATATCTTTAATAATATAGCTAACTCTTTAGCAAAACAACACACCTTTTCTTTACCTTTAAACTTTCAATATACAAATATTTACAATTCTTTCTATATTTTACAATAGGAACAAAATCTTGTCAAACTTTCTATTAAACATTTTGTTAAAAAATTCTGTAAAGCACACATACTGGCAATGTGGTCTTCACAAAAAAAAAACAATGAATGGGCTTATATCAACTACTATATAGACTGAAAATTCACATGGCTATACCTTAATCATAATCAAAAACTCTTATCTAACTTTAGTAGCTTTAAATTTAACTAATCCAAAAGCTTTGAAATTAAAGTTTTTTTAAATTAATTACCAATATACTTTTCTCTTCACAATACTTATCAATAATCTTTACAAATATTAACTGCATTTAATACAATCTTTCTGACTTCTATTTATACTAGTTAACTTGCTTTAATTTATCTCTTATTATAAACATTATTAACTTATCAATTCAGTATATTTTATCTAAAGCAAACCTTAACTTATCTACTAGTCAACTACATAAACTTATTCACAAAATTTAAAACTATTTTTTATTCAACTAAATACCATTTCAAGCAAACTCTTTTTATTTTGACCTTACTCTTAAAAACCTTATACCTAAAGTCTTAATTAAAACAATTCATAACTACAACATACCCTATCAAAATAGTCTTACAAACTATTATTCAAATACTTTTTAACATTAACAACCAAACTTATAATCAAATATAGAAACCTTATTGCATTGACTTTTCTAACTAGAAAAAAATAATAACATTACATCTCTTCTAAGTTCTAACAATAATTATACCCCTTAACAAATACAACAAACTAGATATCATAAGGAATTATATATAAACTATATATACTTATGTCTATATGAAATAGCAGATCAATTATATTTACATCCTAATATCTGTTTACCAATTGGACAAGCTATTAGAAAAATCAACATATAGTTAACATTCTGGATTAATTATAGCACATCTTATAACAACATTTTAATATTACAAATCTAGATAAACCTTGACCACCATAGTCAGTTTTGATTGCAAATAAAACTAGCTGAGCTTTAATTTTTGTATGTAGTTTTTATTTTGTAGTTTACAATCTTAGGGTGCTCTCAAGCATCTTCCTGAGTGTAGTTAGATAGTAATTAAGATGACACTCAATCAATACAATCAATTAGTATAAAGATCATGATCAACAATTGAGTGAATTCTTTTCTATTACAATTAATTATTATGTCGACAAACAAAAAAAAAAAAGGATCGTCCCAAAACATATTACCATTATCAGCAACTTCGAATGTATCTGTCCCAACAACTTCAAACATGCCTGTTATTTCTTTCACTATTCCAAATGTTTTCATTATCCCTTCGGTTACTCACAATACTCCTGTCACTTCTTTTACAGATTTTACTAATCTTCATATGCTGCTACAACAACATTATCCTTCTGTGCAACTATTTAATTCTTTAGTTTTAAACAAAACTAATAATGAAAGTGAAGAGATATATAATTGAATTTTTTAAAAAAAATTGTAAATTGTATGACAATTGTTAAAAAATATTTTTAAATAACCTTTTTAAAGCTTTCTATTATTGACAATAGTCAACCCCAAGTCAAGAAAAATTTACAAAGTATAGATGATTCATCTAACACTAATACTACTTCAGGAAATAAACAAAATAATCGATAGACATCATCCGAAATTAGAATGTTAATTGATGAAGTTGGAAACAATTAACAAGCATTATAGCATGTAAGGGATCCATGTGAAAAAGGCCATATTTGGGACAAAATTGTTTTGAATATTCAAGATTCTACTTCAAGTATTATTTTAAAAGAGTGTTCCAAAACTTCGTTTCAACAAAAATGTGATTCTCTTCACCAAAAATATCATAATATTAAAGATATTATCAAAAATACAGGTAAAGAAGCAATCAAAATAATTGGAAATTCTTTAAGGATATGGATAAATATCTAAAGAATGATCCAAGTATCTAAGCGCCAATTACAAGTGACTCAATTAATGGAATTAAACATAAAGGAAAAAATAATACTGATAATTATGAAGACGATGAGATAATAATTTATTTTCTTTCTTAGCATGTATATATATACAATTTATATTTATTGTTTTATAAATATAGCCTAATACTAAAAGATGAAAAAGTACTCGTATTAATGAAAATAAGGAATGTCTTGAAGATATTCAAAGTTTGATTAAAGAACAAACAAATACTATCATCGAGACAATCAAAGAGCAATATTTACATACATGTGAAGTTCAACAATGACAACATGATAAGCAGATAGAAATTTTCAAGCAGTTCTTAAACAAATTTTAATAATGTAGTACATTTTTAAATATATTTAATAATGTATCTTTAAGTTATTTGCATATCTATTATAATTAATAAAGATCTGCAAGAATATTTGCTAAATATTCCTTTTTCTGTACTCCCGCCGTATGTTCTCTTTCTTCATTGACCATAATTTCTTCATAATCCTCATTATTTTTACTGTTAATATCATCATTTTCATCTAATATATTATTGTTATCGATACAAATATTGTGTAAAATACAGCATGCATGGATGATTCTAACTATTTGCTCTAAATCTATGCAATATACACCATTTAAAATTCTCCATCATTTTTTCAAATATCCAAATGCCTGTTCAACGATCATCCACATCGAAGATAAAACTTTGTTAAGTCATTGTTCTCTATGAGTTAATCGTTCATAATCAGAGAATAGCTTCATTAAATAAGTCCTAAGTGGGTATGCTGAATTAGCAATTATATAGGTGCCGCCTGGAACCCACTGTTCAGGATTATGAGAAATCTCATAATACAACGAAGAATGATAAAATACTCACGCATTGTGTACACTTCCTTTACAAATTAAAATGTGAATATTAAAAAAAATTGAAAATACAAAAAAATAAAATAAGTAAAAATTAATAAATAAAAATAAATAAAATAACCTGCTTCACCAATATGCATATATGTAAAACGTCCCAAATAATCTACTACACCAAGAAGGTTAATGGAATGGAGGTTTTTTGATTTACAAATCATGCTCCATTTTTATAGGAAAGGTGAATAGGAATATGCGATCCATCCATCGCACCAACAACATTAGGTAATTTATGTTCTAAGCCTGATATTCTATATTCAAACCCTCATGTTATAGTTGCTAATTTTGTTCCTCATGGCCATGTTATTCTTTCTTGTTCTAAATCTAACAAAGCTTTCAAAAATCAATCCGTAAAATGACATACCGATCCTTGACTTATGCCAAGTGTTTGTTCTAATGTTCTTATCCCTGTCCCATTAGCAAATTGCCATAGTACAATTGCAATTTGTTTCCAAGCGGGTATTGCATTCAAAGCTTCACAACTAAAGGCTAAATGTGTTTGTAATCGCTCAACAATAGTATTAAATGTAACAAGAGTAATACGGAAATATTACTGAAAAGAATTATAACTATCATTATCAGTCAAGTTTGAAAAAACATCAACCCAGAATCCTCCAGTTTTAAGTTTTTGTTGATGTTGTGCTCTTATATTAGGTAATGAAAGTGCAATTGGAATAGTTGTATTGGTTATTATATAAGTGTAGGTAAGAAGATAATAAGTATCAATTATTTTTTTTTGGGTTTCTTGATGTTTTTTATTTGCTGTGAAAGTTTCTAGTACAAGAAGTAAAAAAGTAATTTGCTGTTGACAACGAAGATCCATATTTGTCAGGTGTCTATTCAGTGCAAAGGATAAAAAAAATAAAATAATGTAATTTAACCGTAAAAATAAAATAAATATATAATTTGATCATAAAAATAAATTATATAATTTGATCGTAAAAATAAAATATATAATTTGATCATAAAGTGCTTGAATGGTCTCAATCAATAATATATTTTGACTAATCAGTGCAACTCTTTGAAGAAAAAAGATGGGTGCAGACTATCTTTTTTTTTAATCGCAATGATAAACACTTTTGACCAGCTGAGATATTTTTTATTAATGAAAATTTATACACCGATCTATTGATTAAGGTGCTTGAGAGCACCCTTAGTATATAGTATATTAATATGTATAACTAAAATTACTAATAAAGATATAAGCAAGGCCTCACCTTAATATCAAAAAAAAACATATTAATTACATTATTAATAAGCAAAATTGCATTATAAAATATAGTAAATAAATTATAATAATGCTTATCTATTTATATTAAATCTGCTAAATTAATTCTAATTATCTTTTTTTTTAACCTTAAACAGTTATACTGGAACTTTATTAAGATTCTTGAAACTATATATTTTTATAATTTTCCAATACCCAAGTTCAGCATCACTTGGCCACCTATTTGGTACCTAAGTGCAACCTGTTACACTATCTCAGTTAGAGATAGACTGCTTATCTAACTACTTAAAGCCATATCAGAAGGGTCTTTTCCCTTCTGTGACAAGTGTATTAATTATCTTCTAAGCTTCTTTTTTCATTTGATTCAGTTTTCTGCTTTTTTTTTCTTCTTCTTTTGCCAGCTTGTCTTTCTTTATTCCTTTTTCTGGTTTTCTTCTTATTCAAGTACTTTTCTTTATTTTGCTCATTATATTAATTTTTTTTTCCCATTTCTGCACTTTTTCACATTAAACTCTCTATATTTGGTTATAGAATATATTTCATACTGTTCTCATTACTATATCTATGCATTTTTGTATTGCCTGTCTATTTAGAATCTGTTAAAGTTTTTTTTCAATCTCTGTTGTAACTAGCTCTTTTATCATTGACCTTCTGTTCCTAATTTCTTCTGCTTCTGTTTTCTCAAATAATATTTCATATAGAACTAGAAGTAGAATTCTACTTTTTTAATTTCTTTAAGGTTGTTTTATGCCATTGCTGTTGCTACTTTTTGATTCCTCTTCTACAAGCTTTTTTGTTTGATGCAGCTTGCTAAGTATGCTTGAGTTTTCTTTTCACCTTTTTAACAAACTTGGCAGTCTGTTATTGTATAAATCTCTGGTCTTCTTCTATTTAACTCTTCTAGTATTGGTAGACTGTCTATTATGCATTTGATTGCTATTGCCTTTCTAGTACTAAGTTTTTTTGTTGTACAGTATACACCTTTTGATCTGTTCATTTCTTTCCAAAAACTTGACCAATTATATTATATATTCTCTGTTTCTGGTTCTAATGTTCAGATTGGGTTTGTTTCTCTTCAACTGGCTCCAATTCTGCCATTTATCAAAATTTTGCAAAGAAGTCTTGCTGGTATATCAACCTTTTTGTTTTTCCATTCCAAGTGATACTCTATACTCTTACATCTGACTTTCTCTGCATATATTGTCTTATCACATGCTGCTTCTTTTTTTGCAAGTACATCTGCTCTGTTATTCCATTTGTCATTACTGTAGCTTTTAACTTTAATCAGTTCTAATTTGATGTTTTTGCTTTTAACTAGATCTACAATGTTCATTAGCCATATCACATTTTTGTTTTTTAGAACTCTAGCATCATCTGTGTTTTGAATTGCTCTACTAATATTTCTTAATGCCACTAGGCTGTCTGTGTACACTTCTATAGTTTTCTTTTCTGATATTGTTAAAGCTGCTAACCATATTGCTACTAGTTCAGCTATTGTTACTAAGGGCTAACCTTTAAGTCTCAGTGCTGTCTTTTCTTCTGGCCAATCTCTTTTATTTTCAATTTGTACTCAGCCTATACCCATCCTTTCTAAACCATTTTTACTTCTTTTTTTAAACAATGCACCATCTGTATAAAAGATATATTTGTCTTTATTTCTCATTATGTTCTCATAAGAGCTTCTATTAAGTAAGTTGCAATCTTTCTTTTGAATTCTTGTTTTTTAATTAGTTCTATCTCTAGTCCTTTTATTTGTTTTAATCCAGTTAACTTTCTTTCTTTCTTCATTCTCTCATTGATTTATTTTCTAATAATTGTTCTATTGTTGCATTAATCTTATTATTGTTCTTTTCTATTAGTGTTTATAGAATTGCTTTAATATTATTGCTTTGTCTTATTCACTTTTCACATGTGTCTATTGTTTGTTCTGATTTACTTTCACAACCTTTGCATTTTCTTATTTTGGTGAATGTTTTGCCTTCTATTTCTTGCAGTAACCAATGTTCTATTAAGACTTTTTTTTCTTTTTTCTTTAGTATTTTGCTAAAATGCTGATCATGCATTGGTCCATATACAATCCACTCTTTCTTTCTTCTGTCTACTAATACCATCATCTAGTTAATCATCAATGCTTGGATGTTAAAATTATTAATTTTGAAATAATCATATATTTTTCTGCATGTCTGTGCAATTAACACTTTTTCTTTTATTTCACTAAACTATTTGGTTTTCTTTTTTTTGCATGACAGTCCTTGTAAGCTTTTGAGCTGTCTTCATATGATTAGGTTCTCACCTTTAACATCTATAAGCTGATTCTGGTATAGTACACTCTATTTGTTTATTGTATCACTACTTGCTGTCCAAGTTTTGGCTTCGACTAGGTCTCTTATTTTTATTCTATATTCATATACTTTTCATAAGCAGTTTTCTGTTTTGATGTTTATACTTATCTCTTTTGCTTTGCTATTGTCTGGCAGGCTAGATTATGTTTCCAAAACTTTGATTCTTTTGGTCTTCTTTTGGTGTCCTATATGTCTTTTGTTAAGCCTGCCTTTTGGCATCCTTAAGCTATTCTAAGTTTTGTCAGATTATCTAGGCTATCTTTTCTATTAAGTCTCATAAATAAACTACTTATTTGCTTCATTACTATCTCTTGATTTAGTGATTTACAGCTTCCTAAATCTTTATATTCTATTATATAGTTGTTTGTAGTTTTCATTATGTTGTACTTATGTTTTGCCAAACAGATTATCGGCTGGTGGATCTTATTGATCATTTTTTCTGACATCTTTGTTAACTGTAAAAGATAGCCTAACTTTGGGATTATTACTGTATTGTTTATATATGTGATTTGGCTCATTGTTATTTTTTTGTATCTAAGGTCTTTGACTGTTTGGCTAACTATTCCTTTAGCTTTTTTGCAAACTAGTGACTCTCTCATTTTACTGTTCAGCCAAATTCCCAATGATTCTACAATTTTGTTTTTTGGCTCTTCTGTTATTCTGTTCTGCTTAAAAATAATTTCTCTGTTTTCTTTTCTTTGTCTAAAATTCATTACTATGAGTTTTGACTTATTTCTATTTATTTCAATATTATTGGCTTTGAAAATCTCTTCTGCAATTTTAAGAAATTTTAATAATTGTTCTTTGCTGTTTGCGATCCATGTTGTATCATCTGCATGTGCAATTGCTGCTTGTTTATGTTTTGTAATACAATTAATAGCTGTACCTTTTAATACTTCCTGCTCTACTATGTAGCCTAGTAATTTATTCTCTTGAATCTTTTCCAGTAATGGATTATAGAAAAGTCACTAAATTAGTGAAGAAATCACCTTTTTCTGGTTTATTCCATCTCCTGCTATTATTTCTTCTGTTAAACCATAAGCTGTGATTACCTTAAGTTAATATTTATAAAAGAGGTTAATAATGTATTTTATTATTTTTTGTAATAACTTGACTCTTTTTAGTGGCTACTCTAAGCTTTCTAAAGGAACTGAGTCAAATGCCTTCTTCATATCTCACAAGAGTATCCATATTTCTTTGTTCTTCTTTTGTGCTTCTTTCATTATCATATTTAGCAAGTGTATTGGTTGCTTTGTTGAGTTACTAGGCAGACCTGCATGGTTTGGCCTTTTAAGTATTTCTCTTTCTGTAAATATCTTGACCAGCCTTTTTGTTAGCACCTTTGTAACTAGCTTTTTAAAAGTCTCAATTAGTGCTATTAGTCTAATTTTGTTCAAGTTATATTTCTAGTCTTTGTCTTTTGGGATTGGATAGACTTGCACAATTTTCCACTTTATTGGTAATTCTCCTTTTTCTAAAACCAGATTTGCAAAAGCTCTGAAAATCTTTTGCGATTTCTTCTCTGTTTATTTTATTAGTATATTGCTTATGCCTGATATTTCTGGGGCTGTGTTGAACTTGAGTTCTCTTATTGTGTCTACTTACTCTTTTTCTTCTATTTTCTCTTCTAGTTTAATGTACTAAAACTCATCAATTCATTCTTTTGGATTGTATATTTCTTTCTATTCTTTAGGCATTTTCTTAATTTGGTTTTCTGTTTTCTGAATTGGTTTTCAAAGTAATTTGCCAGACCATTTAGAACTTCTTTAGGTTTTGTTGTATGTCTGACATATTCTCTGTCTTGGACTACAAATCTGTCTAGGTTTATCTTCTTGTATGATTTGTTCAATAGGCTAGTTATCATTCATCATTAATTTGATTTAATCATTTTATATTTTTTATTTATATTTTCTTCTATTTGCTTTCTTTGATTTTGTTCTTATTCTTCTTTTCTTCTGTCTTTGGGAATCCTTTGCTAGCCTTTTAAATTATTTATCCAGGCTTCTGACTATTGCTTTTGTAGCTTTGGTAGATTTGCTTCTACTTTTTTGCCTATGTTTTTGAGTCTAGTATTTATTTCTTCTTTTTCTTCTTTCTCTACCTCTTGGTCTCTTCTTAGTTTTGCTTTTTTGATTATTTGTTGTAGTTCAATTGCTTGCCTGTGTTGTTGTAATTTTCTTTGGTATTGTCTTTTGTTTGTTTTTGTATTGAATATCTTCTTTCTTGAAATTCATTTATTTGCTGCTTCTATTA